TGTGAAAGGTAAGGATGGCAAACAAGGAGAATACTGTACTATGTACGAGACTCCCTGCACCAGTCTGAGTATTCATGTGTCAATGGGTACAATAGTTACTTGTGTCTGCTCAACAGCTTGTGAAAATGTTCTCTTATGTTCTGTAGTTTTCCATCTTTAGAGTCTTGTCTCATTAAAGTATGCTGCGAAAACTGCATCAGAATCTTTTGCTACTTAAGGTACAAACACATGACCTAGATTTCCTCAGTTGGATGCACCCCTACCAAAGACTGATGAGAAAGAGACCAGTGTTAGGAGGTGGCCACAGAGAGATAGATTTTCTGGTAGTTGTGGTGGAAGGGGGTGGTTCTGGTTCTTCTGGGGTTGTGGTGCTGGAGTTTCTGGCACTCAATCTCAGATATGATCAGTGCTGAGCAGTGAGTGGTGGTAGCAGGGCTGTTTTCACTAATACTTTTCCCCACAGGTAGAAGATGGGCATTATTTCTGTATTTCTAGCTGCTTAGCATTTTAAGTCCAATTCTCTGATTCTTTGAGATTCTGAAACTTTTTCATATGTTCAATAAGCCTCATTTTGCTTAAATTAGTTAGAAATTATCCTATGATTTTCAACCAAGAGTCTTGACTTGAATAATGGAAATGAGAAATAGTAACAGAGGGGCAGTTTAACTTCGGTTATTATAGCTAGAAAGGGCATTGGAAATGGAATGTTGAATGTGACCATAGACTAAAAGAATTTGATAGAGATTTTCAGGTATCTTCAAATATGGAAGTTGTTTTCTTGCTTAAATGAAGGAGTGTTTTCTTAACTTCCCCTACAGCTATATAAGAAAAAGCATTAAGGAAAAAAAATCTTGGGCATTTACAAAAGTTTGGTAAATAGCATGAAGAAAATAAGTCCTGAATCATCATCGGTGATAATTTATTATTTGCTTTTTGGTGTATTTTGTTTGACATTTTACTATGCACATGCATAGTTACTCTTAGGCGTTTACTACACAATGTAGCTTCATTAAGGAAAAATTAGAAATGTAAAGAGTGCAAAACCAAAGGAAAAGTCTCCTGTAATGATTAATTTATGTGTAAACTGGCCAGGCTATATATTTCCTAAAGTGATTTAATAAAACCTAACTTAGGATTACTGTGAAGATATTTTAGCAATGCGATTAACATCCACAACCAGCTGACTTTAAGTAAAGAAGATTACTCTCTATAATGTGGATCAGCCTTATCCTAGCAGTTGAAGGTCTTATAAGCAAAAACTGAAGGTTCCCACAGAAGAAGAAATTCCTCCTCAAGACAGTATTATACAAAGCCTGCCTATGGTTCTAGCCTACTGACCTATCCTTTGAGTTTTAGACTTGCCAGGCCCCGCAGTCCTATAGTGTGTGTATACACACACACACACACACACACACACACACACACACACACACAATATATATATATGTATATATATATCCTATTAATTGTTTCCTGGAGAACCCTGACTGATACATTCCCCCATAAGACCATCACCCTCTAATATCACATGCTATATCATGGTATCTTTACTAATTTTTTTCTTTTCTTTTCTTTTCTCAGACCTCTCAGGGATGAATTTTTTTTTTCTATACAGAGTCATGCAATGCATAACAATATTTCAGCCAGTAATGGACCACATATACAATGGTGGTCCCATAAGATTAAAATGGAGTGGAAAAATTCATGTTGTACAAAAATGTTGTAGCCATCCTAATGTAGCACAATGTATTGCTCATGTGTCTGTGCTGATGGTGATGTAAAGAAAACTACTGTGCTTCCAGTTGTATAAAAGTATAGCACATGTAATTATATACAGTATATAATGCTAGACAATGATAATAAACAACCATGTTACTGGTTTATATACTTACCATACTATAGTTAAAAAAATTTTTTTTAACTTTTTGAGACAGAGTCTCACTCTGTCTCCCAGGCTGGAGTGCAGTGGTGAAATCTCAGCCCACTACAACCTCTGGCTCCAAGGTTCAAGCGATTCTCCTCCCGCAGCCTCCTGAATATCTGGGATTAGAGGCATATGCCACCATACCTGCCTAAGTTTTGTATGTTTATTAGAGACAAGGTTTCACCATGTTGGCCAGGCCAGTCTCAAACTCTTGACCTCAAGTGATCTCCCCACCTTGGCCTCCGAAAGTGCTGGGATTGCAGGCATTTCCCACCATGCCCAGCCCCATACTATACTTTTAATCATTATTTTAGAGTGTACTTCTACATATGTATAAAAAGAATTAACTGTAAAACAGCCTCAGGCAGCTCTTTGAAGAGGTATTCCAGAAGAAGGCATTGTTATCATAGGAGATGACAGTTTCACGAGTGTTACTGCCCCTAATGACCTTCCGGTGGGATAAGATGTAGAGGTGGAAGACAGTGATATTGATGATACTGACCTTGTGTAGGCCTAGGATGTGTGTGTTTGTGTATTATTTCTTAACAGGAAAATTAAAAAGTTAAACGAAATAAATAAAATAGATAAAATTCTTATAGAATAAGAATATAAAGAAAGAATATATTTTTGTATAGGCGTACAATGTGTGTTTTAAGCCAATTTATTACAAAAGATCCAAATTAAAAACCTCAACTTTAATTTTTTTTAAATTAAAATTTTAATTAAAAAATTAAATTTATAAAGGTCTACAAAAAGCTGTTTAATTTCTTATTGAACAAATAAAAATATCTATTTATGAATTTAGTGCAGCCTAAGTGTATAGTGTTTATAAAGTCTACAGTAGTGTATAGTATATCTTAGGCCTCACATCCAATTACCACTTACTGATTCACCCATAGTAATTTCCAGTCCTTAAAGCTCTTTTCATGGTTAGCACCTTACACATGTGTATCATTTTTTAACTCTTTTATACTATATTTTAACTGTACCTTTTCTATATTTAGATATGTCTATATACACAAATATTTACCATTGTGTTACAATTCCCTACAGTGCTCAGTATAGTAACATATTCTACAACTTTGTAGCCTAGGAGCAACAGGCTATACCATGTAGCCTAGATGTATAATAGGCTATACCTTGTAGGCTTGTGTCAATATACTTCATAATGTTCACACAATGATGAAATTGCCTTGTGACACTGTATTAGACTGTATTCCCATAGTTAAGTGATACATGACTGTATATGTGTGCAACTATTTACCCATTTATTTACAAAAATAGGATAATACCATTCACACTGTATGTTAGTATGCTTTTTCCCCCACTCAATAGTGTACCTTGAATACATTTCCAAATCAATGAATATACTTTTAAAAACATCATTTTTATTTATTGCTACATTTTTGACAATAATCAAGACAGGTAAACAACCTAAATATTCATCAACCAATGAATCAATAAAGAAAACACACACACACACACACACACACACACACACATATATACACCACAATGGAATGTTATTCGCTCTTAACAAGGAAGGCTATCCTGCCATCTGTGACAATATGGATAAACCTGGAGGACATTATGCTACATGAAATAAACCAGATAAAGCAACAAATACTGCCTGATTTCACTTATATGTGGAATCTAAAATAGCCAAATTTACAGAAGCAGAGAGTGGAATGGTGTTTGCTAGGGAATGGGGAGGGGGAAATTGGGAGATGTCAGTCAAAAGATACAAAGTTTCAGTTACACAAGATGAATAAATTCTTATAGACCACCACAATGTGGTGATTATAAGACTACCATATTGTATACTTTACATTTTTTAAGCAGATAGGTCTTAAATATTCTCATCACACCAAAAAAGAGGAAAAAGAAAATAAGAACGGTAACTATGTGGGGTGATATATATGTTAATTAGCTTGATTGTGATGATTATTTTACAGTGTATGTGTATATCAAAAATCAAGTTGTACATCTTTAATGTGTAGTTTTGATTATTATACCTTAAAAAAGCTGAAAAAATGTTCACCAGTTTTATAAGCAAAAAAACAAAGAAACAAACAAATAAACCTCATCATTTTTAGTGCCAGTATATTATCCCATTGTGTGAATAGTGCAATTTCTGAAAATAGCTCTAAAGATATCCTTTAAAAGTCCTAGAATTCGAACTACTGGATGAATAAAATTTATATTTTAAAGACTTTTGGTACATACTGCCAAATTGCTCTAAAGAAAACAAATATCAACTTAACTCTTACTTATGAGTGTCCTTTCCCCACACTTTAACCAATCCATTTTATTATCATGCAAATTATTTTCTAATTTTGAACTTTAAAAACCTAAAATGTATTATTTTTAAAAAATGTTTGTGTTGGTATATATGTATTTTTACCTAATTGAGATTACAGTGTATGTACATATGTAAGTAAATATATATTCTACTTTTAAAAATACTTATTACAAATAATTTCTTATACTATAAAACTTTCTAATTCATTTTAGTGACCTAATAACATTCCCCAGCACAGATGTACCATAGTTGACTTATGCATTCTGCAATTATACTCTCTCATTTTTGCCAAAATTTCTATTTCCTTAGGATATTTTCTCAGAATGGGATTATAGGTCCCAAAATTAGGAATGTTTATGAGCTTTTGATACCAGTGAATGAACTATTATTAGAATAAGTCTGTTTATTCATCAATCTTGAATATTGGCTTAAAAAGTGAGAAAAACCTTACAATGTGTTATATAAGAGCAGAGCAGGTATTGCATTAAAAATGATAATGAGGGTTAATTTTGGCCCCCATCTACATTCATTTGCTATTTCTATTTCTTGTTTAATAAATGAGAATGAGGGACTTGAAACAAGTATTTAGTGAATCCATTCACATTGGGAAAGTGTTTCCCAGGTTTCTACATTTGCATTAACTTACACTATAGCGTGGGAGAAATAGCTAGAGCAACAAAAATGGAGTTGATAAAGTAAATAAATTGTAAATATGACTTTTGATAAATTACATATGTGCACATACAAACCTATTTACAATTACCTGTCTTTTAGGGCCAGAGGATCTACTACCACAGAACATTTCTAGACGTCAATTCCTGGTATGAAAGGATTGGGAGTTAACAGAAGAGCCACAGAGAGGTAGAGTTTGCTGTGTTTATATTTGCATTGAAGTTATTTTAAAATATTAGTTTATCTTCCTGCACATAATATTTTTATTTTATAGCATACATGGAATCTATATGTTTGATTCTATAGTATAAATTCATTTCTTCTTAATCAGCCTTTTTGGCCGTTTTGTTAAAGATCACAGTGTAGCCACATGAAGGAAAAGCATTTGAATCTGGTTTAGCCCTATCCATGGTGAGAGTTACTACCTGAGTGCCAGGCTGGGATTGGATAGATCAGGCATACAGCAGCCTGTCTTACAGAATGGTGTCTGAACAGGATAATTTCTGGTTCAATGTAGCCTTCCTTGGTTTTAACCTGTATCACATGGGCTTGTCTAAAAGGAACAATATCCCTTAATATTGAAAATTTTCTAACACAGCAGTCGTCAAATTATCATCCACATACCCCTGGGGATCCTGATTATCTTTTAAGGGTGTTTGCAAAGCCAGCATGATTTACCTAATAATCCTGACATGAATTTGAGCTTTCAAATGAAATTAAAGTTTCAGAAAACTTATATCCACTACCTGAGATTGATGGCTTCTTAATACTTAGAGATTTTATTATGAAATTGGAAATGTTAACTAATGCAATTTTAAACATATCATATGATAAAATGTGTCAATATTTGGAACATCTGTATAACTCAGTGAATCAATATTGTCCAAATAACAATGCATGGGGTTACAAAATTATGCATGGATAAAAACCCTATTCAAAGTTCAAGACAGACCAATGGATTTTAAGTTAAGAGAACACAAAAAGTTTATTGGTCTAGTTTCAGAGAGTCCACATTCTGTCTTTTAAAAAAACAACTTGTTGAATCTTGGTGTAGTATCACAGAAGAATATCCACAACTATGTTCCTTCCTTTTTCAGCCATATCTATGTGAAGCTACCTTTTCTTAATATACTTCAACCAAAATGTCATTTTGCAGCAGGTTGAATGCTGAAATATATAGCAGAATCCAACATTCTTCTATTAAGCCAGATATTAAAGAGATTTGCAGAAATATAAAACAATGCAATTCTTCTTATTAACATTTTTTGGAAATATAATTATTTTTCATAAAGGTATGTTATTTATGTCAATATACAATGGGTTTATTACTGTAATTTTAGAATTAATTAATAAATAGATATTTATTTTTTCCATTTTAAATACAGAAAGTTTCAATAGATATAACTCACATAAACAAAACCCTTTGGGGTCCTCAATAATGTTGAGTATGACTAGTATATGAGTCCAAACACTTTAAGAACTGCTTTCCTAATAAATTGTTCTTGAATAATTTTGCATGTGAATATCATCAGGCTCTCCCAAGTAAGGTAATGTATTCAGCAATAGATTAGGATGACCTCCGGCTTTGAATATAAAATTGGGTGTTATGGTCAATAACAGTCACACAAGTAATTAATTGAGAAGTCAGAAAGAAAAACACAGCTTTCAAAAGCCCCTTGAGTATTTTGCTCATGTGTGCCCCACTGTTGGATGTGGTTACTGAGGTGTGCTGGTGAGTGCAGCTGTTGGTCTCCTAGGGGAGTTATTTGCTTTGCTTTGTCATACACATGGTCTTTTGATCTCAGATACTAGTTTCTGTCTGGCTTCCTTGTGGTTAATACATCTGACATATGGCTTGTTTCTTTGTCTATCTTTTATTATGTTATTTCATTGGGCTACTTTGAAATCAATATAAGCAATAATCGGCAGACTACAATTTGGTTTTAAGTGCATTTTCTTATCAAGATACATAGAGTTATATGGCATTCTTATGATCCAGTGCTTCAACTGATGACATATAATGTAGTATTAAATAAAACTATACAGCCTGGCATAGTTAAGTGTATTGTTAAATACATCAAACATAAAAACAGAAGAGCGAAAAAGGTATATAAGGTGCTCATAGATAACCAAGCAGCTGAATGAAAATATGGAAAGATATTTCCCTGTTGCTTTTCTAATGTCGCTACTTCACTTTCTCTAAGCGTTGGATTTCTCTCCACATTTCCTTTTTCCCTAGGACTCTGGATTCTCAGCTAGTGTTTGATACTATTTAAGGGTTCCATCAGTTTAGTGCTCACACAGCATTTATTAGCTATGCGAACTTGACCAGGTAAATTCAGCCGTTTGTGCTACTACTGTATTTCCCTCTCAGTAAAGTGGGGATAATAATAAGTGTATCTACATCACTGAATGAAGAATATGTGAAACCACCCACGTGTACTGGGCGCAGCATCCTGACTACCACCCCCAGTGGATCCTCCCTGGGTATCAGCTATTATTCTTCTCTATTTTTACTCATTGGCACTTTCATCTCATTTGCGAAAGAACTATATTAATTAATTCAACAGACACATATTTAATAACTGTTGCATACCAGGCATTGTGCTAGGATAAGGGCTACAACAGTGAATAAAAACAGTGCTCATGAAAGCAGAGGGCATATTTATGTAGTATTTATGCTATTTCTGGTCTTTATCACGCTATCTGGCACAGAATAGGTATTTCATAAATATGTGCCACATAAGAAAATAACCAACCTTATATTATTATTCTTAATTTACAGATGAAGAAACTGAGACTTAGAAAGGAAGAAAGAGTCACCCAGGTAGCTGATCACAGAATCTCTCCCTAGGGATCTAGGAAGAAAGTGCTAACATTGCTAAGTCATGCTGCTTGAGAAGGGTTAATCTGGCTTCTCAATTTCTAAGTTCCAAAGCACATCGTGGACCTGCAGATAAACTAAATGTTCAACAACACTTTCCATAAGTACTCATTGATGTCCACCTTGTTGGACAAGACATTGTGCTAATCTTTGGAATATTGCTGTTAACCTGAGAGACATTAGAGGAGCTTCCATTCCATTCAGGGAGACAGCTATGAAACACCTGGTTATGTGTGTGGTTGCCTTGTGATAAACACTATGGAGACGCATATACCAGAGGTTCTGACTTAAGCTGGTATGCTGGTCAGAAAGACTTCCCTGAGGAAAGAATTTGTAAACTAAGTGCTAAAGGGTGAGTAGGAAAAAATCAACTAGAAAAGAAATGGAGGAAAAGCATTTCTGGCAGAATAGCATGTTCAAGAACTTGGAGCATTTGCATACTAGAGGAAGGCCAGTGTGCTATACCCAGAGGCTGAGTGAGGCAGGAAGATGACATGGAACTATGGGAACAGGTTGGGGCCAAATTCTCCAGAGCTTCAGACCCACACTAAGCATTTTTTTTAAGATAGAGTCTTGTTCTGTCGCCAGACTGGAGTGCAATGGCACTATCTCGGCTCACCGCAACCTCCACCTCCCTGGTTCAAGCATTTCTCCTGTCTCAGCCTCCCGAGTAGCTGGGACTACAGGCTCACCCCACCACGACCAGCCAATTTTGTTTTGTATCTAATAGATACGGGGTTTCACTATGTTGGCCAGGATGGTCTTGATCTCCTGACCACAGGATCTGCCTGCTGCGGCCTCCCAAAGTGCTAGGATTACAGGCGTGCATTTTGGTTTTATCCTAAGTACTCTTCAGTGAATTTTCAAGAAGAGAGTGATGTGATAAGATATGCAATTTGGAAACATCATAGTTGAAAGAAGATGGCAGTGTGGACCAGGATGGTAGAACTGGAGACAAACATGTGAGCAGGCTTGAGAGATACTCAAGAGGTTGGGTTCATAGACTTGTGACTTAGATCAGGGAGATGAGCAGGAGGCAGATCTGAGTTTTATGGGGTCTGAAGCTCATGCAATTGGAAAGCTCTTTCAGAAATGGATAGTATATATGGGAAGGGCCTAAGATGACTGTCAAGGTCTTAGGCATTTCATATAGACACAGTAACATATGTACAAGGAAGAGGAGGTATCTCTTCTCTGCACCTCTTTTGATTAGGAACCAACACTTTTCTCAGAATCCTCCCTAGCATTCCTTTCACATGTAGAAAATTGGGTAGAAAAATAGATAATTCCTTCCAATTCTGAGACTCAGTGATTGTGGTGGGAACAAAACATATTAGGAAGTACATTCTCATCAGCAAGCTGAGGAGACAATCCACATCCGTGCTCTAGTGAAAAGTTATAATTATTGTTCAGTAAGATACTTTTTATATAATGGTGCTGGGACAACAGGGATAAACGAAAGCTCTCCTGGACAAATTGGAACAATGACCACTCCATCTGTTGTGGATGTAAGTGACTGGGTGAGTTCCCTCTCTTCTTCCCACCTCTGAATAGTGTTCCCTGCCCTTGTATCACTGCTGCTGGGCTCTGGCTCATCTTCCTCACTGACCACAGTTGGCACCTGTTTTCTGTCAGCTGACTGGCACTGCAGCATATTCCACTGGGGCAAGGAGAAGGCATGAGCTGTAAGCACTCAGAAGTGGTCAGGAGTGTGGGGGGATTGTTAGCTTTACTTCTGATGAGACTCAGACTCAAGCTGGGAAATTATTAATGGGAGGCATTTGACTAGGAGGTAGTGTCTTTCCAAGTGAGCTAAGAGAACACTGGTCCTTGAATATGCTCCAGGAGAAAGAGATTCTGTCTGGAGAAATGCTGACAAATGCACCCCTGAAGAGTCTTGGTGCACACTAGGATATTTAAAAAGCTATTAAGAAGTCCTACAATGGAGAAATGCAAAAAACTCAGGTTTTGTCCACGACTATGCAAGACCAGCGCATCCTTTTTAAACACACACACCTCACACCACTGATAAATATGCTGAAGAATAGACTTGGAGAAACTTTTTAAGAAGAAGGCATATTAACATCAAGGCAGGAAGGCCAAGAAATGGGGAGACAAAGAGAATGGCCCAATATACTAGAATACTCCTAGAGTCAATGTGCTGGTTCTTAATATATCTTAGCATTCCTGGGACTGAGCTACACATGAATTCGTGGGATTGATTCTTCATCTAAATGTTGCTTGAGTTATTGCATTGTTCTGTTGCTTTCCAGGAACGTTTGTTCATTTCAGAATAGGCCGAGGAGTGATGACTGACAAGGACAACTTCTCTCACACTTAAATTTATTGTAGTTTCCAAAATTTGAAGTAAAGAAGCAATAAAAACTCTATCTAGGTGTTCCTGGAAGCGTGAGATCACTCATTAAGGCATCAGTTAGCAAAATTTGGAAGTAAAGTGAAAAAGTGAAATAGAGTGAAAGAGCAAAAAGATGGTGTTGGATAAACCAGTTTTAAAATTGTGGCTTAACTGCGCAAACTTTGGCAAATGATTTAACCTCTTAAATCATTTATGAATTTAATTAAACAACGCACTTTCCAAATCTCAGTGTCCATATATGTAAAAATACTTCACCTGTAGGATAATGCAAGCATTAGAAATAGTATGCCTCTTATTCATGAATTATTATCATTATGAAAATATAGGAAGTGTGTGCTTAATGCAAAGAAAATGTTCAGTTAACAAAAGCTATTTCTATTATCTAAAATGATGGAAAGGAATCTACATTGTAAGATTCCTATAGCCCAGGAAGTCATAGTCTGATCATGGAACAGAAGGAGCAGAGTGAATAATTTAAACTGTCATGTATATTAATGCTACTGCCTTGCAAATTACAAGGCAGTAAGGAAAACATTTCTCTTCCTCCTCATGAGTTTAAATTTGTATTTAATAATAAATATTTATTCCATACTATAAATGTCACCTTTTTTGTCTTGCTAATATAAGGCATAATTCGGATACTGGAATTACTGCTAGGTTAAAGTTTCAACTCTATGCCTTGCTATCTGTATGACCCTAACCAAGCAAATAAACCATGTTACCTCTCAGTGCCTCACTTTTTTCATCCTCAAAATAAGGACAATAATATTATTTACCTCATATATGTAATTAAACAATGCACTGTGCTGTGAATGTAGTTAAGAAAGAAAAGCTGTTTATCATTATTACTGTTATACTTTAAGTTCTGGAGTACATGTGCAGATTGTGTAGGTTTGTTACATAACTATACATGTGCCATGGTGTTGGTTTGCTGCATTCATCGCCCATCACCTACATTAGGTATTTCTCCTAATGCTATTCCTCCCCAATACCCCCACCCCCTGCTATTCCTGCCCTAGGCCCCTACCAACCAGGCCCCAGTGTGTGATGTTCCCCTCCCTGTGTTCGTGTGTTCTCATTGTTCAACACCCACTTTTGAGTGAGAACATGCGGTGTTTGGTATGCTGAGAATGATGGTTTCCAGTTTCATCTATGTCTCTGCAAAGGACATGAACTCATCTTTTTTACAGCTGCATAGTATTCCATGGTGTCTATGTGCCACATTTTCTTTATCCAGTCTATCATTGATAGGTATTTGGGTTGATTCCAAGTCTTTGCTATTGTGAACAGTGCTGCAATAAACATATGTGTGCATGCGTTTTTATAATGGAATAATTTATAATCCTTTGAGTATATACCCAGTAATGAGATTGCTGGGTCAAATGATATTTCTATTTCTAGATCCTTGAGAAATCACCACACTGTCTTTCACAATGGTTGAATTAATTTACACTCCCACCAACAGTGTAAAAGTGTTTCTATTTCTCCACATCCTCTCCAGCATCTGTTGTCTCCTGATTTTTTAATGATCATCATTCTAACTGGTGTGAGGTGGTATCTCAATGTGGTTTTGATTTGCATTTCTCTAATGACCAGTGATGATGAGCATTTTTACATATGTTTGTTGGCTATGTAAATGTCTTCTTTTGAAAAGTGCCTGTCCATATCTTTTGCCCACTTTTTGATGGGATTTTTTTTCTTGTAAATCCGTTTTAGTTCTCTGTCGATTCGGATATTAGCCCTTTGATGGGCGGATTGAAAACATTTTTTCCCATTCTGTTGGTTGCCAGTTCACTCTATTGATAGTTTCTTTTGCCGTAAAGAAGCTCTTAAGTTTAATTAGATCCCATTTGTCCATTTTGGCTTTTGTTGCCATTGCTTTTAGTGTTTTAGTTATGAAGTCCTTGCCCATGCCAATATACTGGATGGTACTGCCTAGGTTTTATTCTAGAGTTTTTATTTTGTTAGGCCTCATGTTTAAATCTTTAATCCATCTACAGTTAATTTTTGTACTAGGTGTAAGGAAGGGATACAGTTTCAGCTTTCTGCATATGGCTAGCCAGTTTTCCCAAAATCATTTATTAAATAGGGAATCCTTTCCCCATTGCTTGCTTTTATCAGGTTTGTCAAAGATCAGATGGTTGTAGCTGTGTGGCGTTCCTTCTGAGGCCTCTGTTCTGATCCATTGGTCTATATCTCTGTTTTGGTACCAGTACCATGCTGTTTCGATTTTAGTAGCCTTGTAATATAGTTTGAAGTCGGGTAGTGTGATGCCTTCATCTTTTTCTTTTTCTTTTCTTTTTTTTTTATTTTTATTTTTTTTTGCTTAGGATTGTCTTGGCTATGTGGGTTCTTTTTTGGTTCCATATGAAGTGTAAGGTGTTTTTTTTCCAATTCTTTGAAGAAAGTCAATGGTAGCTTGATGGGGATATCATTGAATCTATAAATTATTTTGGGCAGTATGACCATTTTCGTGATATTGATTCTTCCTAACCATGAGCATGGAATGTTTTTCCATTTGTTTGTGTCCTCTCTTATTTCCTTGAGTAGTGGTTTGTAGTTCTTCTTGAAGAGGTCCTTCACATTCCTTGTTAGTTGTATTCCTAGGTATTTTATTCTCTTTGTAGCAGTTGTGAATGGGAGTTCACCCATGATTTGGCTCTCTATTATTGATGTATAGGAATTTTTGCACATTGATTTTTGTATCCTGAGACTTTGCAGAAGTTGCTTATCAGCTTAAGGAGATTTTGAGCTGAGATGATGGGGTTTTTTAAATATAGAATCATGTTATCTGCAAACAGGGACAATTTGACATCCCCTTTTCCTATTTGAATATGCTTTATTTCTTTCTCTTGCCTGATGGCCCTAGCGAGAACATCCAATACTGTATTGAATAGGAGTGGTGAGAGAGGGCATCCTTCTATGGTGTCAGTTTTCAAAGGGAATGCTTCCAGGAAAAGCTGGGGGTGTTGTTGTTGTTGTTGTTGTTGTTGTTGTTGTTGTTTGAGAGGGAGTCTCTCACTCTGTCACTAGCCTGGAGTGCAATGGTGCAATCTCGGCTCACTGCAACCTCTGCCTTCCAGGTTCAAGCAATTCTCCTGCCTCAGCCTCCTGAGTAGCTGGGACTACAGGCATGTGCCACCACGCCCAGCTAATTTTTATATTTTTAGTAGAGGCAGGGTTTCACCATGTTGGCCAGGCTGGTCTCAATCTCTTGACCTTGTG